TCCCTAAAGGAACCTGCACAGTAGGATACATAAGTGTGAGAGAATACTGCAGTACAGCTACAAAGAAGCCCAGTTTTGGGTAGTCTAAACACTACCAGAGTGCCTGTGTTGAATATTTCCTGCTGCCTGATTTCAGACCTTCAGATCCTCCTACTCAATAGAAAAATTAGGCCTTAGGTGTAATTTAGGCTATCTATATTTAGATCTCAAGCTTCTTTGTCCTTTAGCATGGCTCCTAAGTCTTCCTCTTACATAGGTTAATATGTCTGAGGAACCACCATTTGGAAGAGGCCCTAACCTTTAATGATATTTGGAGATTCATCTAGACTCACAGATTTAGCTAAATACCTGTAATATGATGGTCCTTATATAATCATAGAATCGTAGAATCATTTATGTTGGAAAAGGCCTTTAAGATCATCAAGTCCAACCGTAAACCTAACACTGTCAAGTCCACCACTACATCATGTCCCTAAGTGCTGCATCTACACATCTAAACCCTTTGAGCTATGAAAAAGTTTTGGCTACCCATTTCTGTATTTTGGTTTACTGCCACTCCTGTACTCTTGTGTGCACACATCAGAGCCCATTTCCACCAGATTTCTGTCGCCCCTCCTGAACCCTTCTTACCCTGCAGTATGCCCCCCTATGCAAATAGGAGCACAATGAACTAATTGACCGTTATCTGAACTGTGTGAATTCAGACGTATGATCTCTAACAACAACTGTAAAGTTTCCTGTTCATTTCTCTTTCAGCTTGTGTGGCTGGGGTTAAATGTCTTCCTCTTTTGGTGGTACTATCTTGCATATGATGTCCCACCAAAATTCTTCTACACCAGAGTACTCCTTGGCGTAAGTACAAACATGTATTATTTTGGCATAGACTGAGCACATAGCATTTTTTCCCTAGTTTTATTTGACTGAAACAGGATCAAGTGGCTGGAGCAGCAGGTTCATGTTGGGGTTAAAAGTCACGTGCAAACAGATAACTGACTGCAGATAGATATCCAGTGCTTCTGAATAGAAAGCTGGTAAGAAAAATAGAGAGATCCCATTCTAAAGATGTTTTCAGGTAACTGTCATGCTCCTGCTAATTAAAGTGAACATGCATTGTGGCTGCTTTATTAAGCAAAAGATGAATAAAATATTGCCATTGAACTGTTGTGCAATCGTTTCCCCATGCAATCATTTTTCATAGCATGAATAGTTTACAAAGCTATTAGCTCTGAAAAACAATCACCATTCATATATTCACCAAGTGTGTGAATAGTAGTCAAGTAGTGAAGTGATCCCGGACCCTGGGCTATTCAATATAACCCAACTGGTTAATGCAGCATTATCTGTCCTGCCACAAACTTGCTTCCAAAGCTACCACAGGTCATGACCAATTGACAGAGAAAATTCATTGTTCACATACTTTAAAAGCCTGATCACAGGCATAAAAATCAGTCTAAGCTTCAAATTACAGAACATGGCACTTTGTAAAAGGTTTGCAAAGCCACAGTTTAATTCAACAAAGCAAGAAATCCCATTCCGCCTACAGCTTCAGATCTATGAATCAAATTCTGTCCTTTGGAATCATGGTGCAGTTGCCTTTGAAGTCACAGAGACCTGTGCTTGGATAACTAGATCTCAGTGTAACCCCAAGTCAGTTGCTGTGATCTGAAACCTGAAAGGGTCCCAATCAATGCAAGGAGAGCAAACATTATCTTTTCCTTCCCTTCACTGTGTTTGGATTAATATGGTCATTATTCCCTCCTTTCAAACAGTCTTTGTAAAAATCTGAAATTATTCAGGATGTGAAGATGAAGTTAAGGGAACATATTCCTAAAAGATGAGGCAACAAATTTCCCTAGACTGCCTTTACTGAAAACAGAGAACATAAAACCACTTCCCTTATAAGCTGTCCTTCTGTCTACCATAACCCCATAGCCAACTGAAACCACAGAAGTGAGACTTTCTTTATAGCCTTGGGACAGAAAACTCTACTAATGGCTTAGACTTGCGTCTGTGCTTGGCCATTGATTGTCAGACCTGACAGAGAGCTTTTTGTACAACCATATTATTTCAAAACTGGAAATAGAAGGTCTTTATCTGGAGGAATGTGTTCTGTCTGCATACGTGCCTCTGATTTGGCCAGAGCATGATTAGTCTAAAATGTGAACATTGTTAATTAACTCTAGATCTCACACTCATGAAAAGTTGTGATATATAAATGAAATCTGTGCCTATCCATGTCCTGGGTAATGCTGTAGGTAATTCATTTAATAATAGCATCTCTCCAATTACAGCGTGCTTTGGCCCTGGCAAGGGCCCCTGCAGCTTGTCTGAATTTCAACTGCATGCTGATTCTGCTACCAGTATGTCGAAACTTGCTCTCCTTCCTCAGAGGATCAAGTGCGGTAAGATGAAGAAAGAATTTCAAAATTTATGAAAGATAATAACCCAAGCATCTTTGCAAATGTATCAAGCAACTTCATCCAAGTTCCCCAAATATACCGTACTTTGGGGATATCCTCTTTTAAGAAGTAGATAAGCCTGGAGTTTTGCTATGAGCAAGGATGAGGTCTATATGCCAACAGTGTATCTAGAGCTCTGTTGAGAGGTTTAGCCTTGAATTAGCCTCCTTCAAGTCTTCCCTTTTTTTTTGCCTTCTGGGCATCGTGTTGTTCTGGATGGAAAGTCCCTCTTCTGGCTGGCAGCCAGAACATTTATCTTGTTTGTCACTGATACAACACCCATCTATAGCAGGAGATATTACCGCATGTCTTCTGTCTTTGTATCTTCAGTTCCTAAAGTAAATGTAGTCTTTCACAGACTTTCAGAATGGGACTTTTTTCTGCTGGTTCATAAATCACATTCTTTGTTGTCTGAGTTGCATTTCCATCTCAGGATGAAATAGTTCACAGGTCTTTTGACCATTTCTAGCTCCCAAATGCAAATGTTACATACAGCATCGAGGAACCACCACGTAGAAAAGGACAACTGATTCAGATGCAGCGTATGACAGATGGAGAGGCTTCCTATGATATCACATTGCTGAAATCTAGATCTCTGGCTGTTAGAGCAGAAATAATGCAGACAATGCATGCCACGGTGCAGTGAAAAAGCAATAAGAAAATACTCAGCCACAACCCAGGCTGTGTCTGTGTGTAGTACATCCAACTAGTACAAATATTCTGACAAATAGCATGGCTGATGGTCACACACAAATGAGATGTGTCAGACACATTAAGCTCCTAAATTGCCTGTTTAAGGCATAACCCTTAGAAATATAAAGTTGGAACTGCACAGACCAGGCTTTCAGTCTTGTGCTGTACCCCTTCAGATTCTGAAATGCTACAAAAGCAGACAGCTGTACCCCCCAGGTATGTAAAAGGAAAAAGAATAGTAAGTAAAACTGTAGGGTTAAAGTTGTTCTTCCCCTGCCCTGAGAAAGATCAACTACTATCTGCCAAAACTCAGAGCTGACTCCCCAGGCTGCAGAAGTCAATAATGAACACAAATTTAGTAAGAATTAATGTTGCTATTGGATGAATGCAACTGGAAAAATATTGATGAGCTCTGGGTCACACAAGGCCTTCATAAGTTCTGAAATAGATTCCACAGAGGTCAAGCTGAAAGCAGGTTCGGCAGAGATCTTCTGAGGTCAAAGCAATGGAAGAGCTGAAGACACTTTCGCAGGCATTACTGGAAGGCTAAAAACTGATTCCAAGGGTTGAAAATTGTACTCCAGCCAGGACTTTATGCTACTTGTCCTGTATTGCTCATCTCCTAACACCTATAGCTTAACTTTTCTAACCAGGATCTCAATGAAGCTTTCCCTCTTATCTCAGTATTCAAGCTATGGAGTAAGTCCTTCTGCCTTGGGCACTCTGATAGAGTCACTCTGGCTACACCCAGTTTGCAAGTGAGAACCATGCAGAGAGCTAGAGCTCCGGTTCTGCTGCCTGCCTGCAGCTCGCCATCTTGCTGATAGTGCTTGGCTCTATGAGGAAGCGAAGGGCTTTGAGGATGAGCAAGGAGGGGAGGGAGGGGCGTCAAATAGGATTGTTAGACAGTTGGTGTTTAACTTCAGCTGCTTTTTGCGATAAAGCTATACCTCAAGAAGGAGATAATTTTATATCTTAAGCAAAACATGCACAGCCCAGTGTGCCAGTGGCAGCGTCAGGACTGTGGTGGTCTTAGCGCAGGGGTACAGCTGCTTATGCTTGTTCTGCTGTTGTCGCTAGTTAGCTGTGCTCTGCAAGTAACACCTGTTAGGATCTCTTAAGAAAAATCAGGATTTTTAAATGTCAAATAACTTATTGAAAGGGTAATGGCCTTTCGAACAGCAGTGTCATTGGGGCTAAGGAGAGGGGAGAATTGTTCAAGCCCCCTGTTCAATAAGAATGTGCTGGAAACTCTTGCCCTTTACATCCTGCCACCCAGAAATCGTACGCTACAAAGTTATTTGTTATTAATTGAAAGAACAGCTGTGTTGTCTTTGCCTGCCCTTTATTGCTGTATTCATCACTGTTGTTAATGAGCTTCACTACTGAACCTAGCTACAGCATTTTGCCATTGCTTGGCCTTCTGCTTCTTAAACAGAAAGATCAAGAGGTTTTTGCAAGGCAGTCAAGCAAAGTTGGCACTTCATCACTATGCTACAGTTTATTCTACAATCTCTTTAATTGTGTCTCAAGATACATGATAGAGAGAAGGCCGAATTTCTCCTGGCTGTTATAGTCTACTGAAGTCATTGCAATAGCCCCAGAGTGTTAGAGTTTGCCCTTTAATCATACAATCATAGAATTGTTTAAGTTGGAAAAGACCCTTAAGATTCATCAAGTCCAACCAATAACCTAGCAGTGCCAAGTCCACCAATAAACCATGTCCCTAAGTGCCACGTCTACGTGTCTTTTAAATACCTCCAGGGATGGCGACTCAAGCACTTCCCTGGGCAGCCTGTTCCAGTGCTTGACAACCCTTTCAGTGAAGAAATTTTTCCTAATATCCAATCTAAACCTCCCCTCGTGCAACTTGAGGCCACTTGCTCTCTTCCTATCGTTTGTTAGTTGGCAGAAGAGACTGACCCCCACCTCGCTACAACCTCCTTTCAGGTAGTTGTAGAGAGTGATAAGGTCTCCCCTCAGCCTCCTCTTCTCCAGACTAAACAACCCCAGCTCCCTCAGCCGCTCCTCATTAACACCTGTGCTCCAGACCCTTCACCAGCTTCGTTGCCCTTCTCTGGACACGCTCCAGCACCTCAATGTCTTTCTTGCAGTGAGGGGCCCAAAACTGGACACAGTATTCCAGGTGTGGCCTCACCAGTGCCACGTACAGGGTGACGATGACTGCCCTAATGCTGCGGCCACACTGTTTCTCATACAAGCTCCAAGCATTTCTCCCCTGCCAACTGCGTTTTTCCCTTCCCCTGCCCAGGCTCTCACGGCGCCCTGTCCCCATCATGCCAGGACATGAGGTGGGCTGGGAGGGCTTGACCCCATGGGAAAACCCTCCACTCACCCCTGCCTCCGCCTGGTGCTACTCGCCATGACCAAAACCCCCTTTCCAGGACAAAACCAGGCACCATGCGATGAGCCACATGCAGCCAAGACTTCAAGCCAATGTCACAGCTGGTGAATAACCAAAGGAGAGAACTGTTTCCTGCTCATCTATTTATCTGTACAGTTAATACTCATGGGATATTTAGAAATGGGCTGGTACAGAAAAGTAAGGCCACTGCTTCTCCACTAAGTAAAGAATAAATCAGAAATTAAATTGTACTGGTGTTTCATCAGCCCTTCTTCTGTTTCACTCCTGAACAGTTGGGACGATCAGCTCCACCCTGTTTGCTGGGAAGATCCATTACCTTACTCTGCCATCTACAAAGTTAATATCCGGCAAACACTTGGGACAATATTTTGGTCTTCCTTAATTTGTTGTGTGAAGCATCTACATGGTTCTTGTGAGGAAATGTTTGTGTTAGTTTGCATAGCATTTTCTTCTCTTTGCCAGTCAGCAAAAGCAATATAAAGATGCCATACAGGATAATCACGCTTTCTACTGTGTGGGGACAGCAAATGCTAGTTTTCCAGGAACTTAAAGTTATAGGAAACCCCCCACTGACTACAGCACAATTTAGATGGGGCCTGTTAGGAACCTGTCATCATTCTTAATGAAAATATCATTCTGTTTCCCTTAAGAACCAACTTCTTCAGTTTGTATCAACAGAGATTTTTTTTCTTTCTGTTTCTCTTTGGGTAACTCCAGCAACAAGTTGTAAGTGAATTCCCGGCAAATACACCCCATATTTTGGGAAAGGAATCACTTTGTATTACCAACCATAAGTGACTCTAGCACATTTGGCATGGGAGCTCCCAGAGACAGTTATACCCAGACTTTACAGTCCCTTTCTACAGTGTGAACTACAACAGGATCCTGATGCTAGGTGGCAACTTGAGACTCTATGACAGCAGTCACCCTGCTATGGCAGACAGTGATTGCTCCTTCTGCTTATAACATGTGATTTAACACAGATAAGATATATACTTTTGTCATACTGGATGTTAAGTTTTTTCTGATTATCAAATACTTTGTTTCAATGGGACATGCTAAAACCTAATCTGTTACTCCTCTATTCTGAAGTATGGGGGAAATATTTTTTCTATGTTTAGGAATTGTAGATTTTTACTAGCAATGCCACCAATTGTTGTGCTCAGGTCCTCTGTTTTTGTCCCTGCATTTAAATAAGTATGCATAGACATCATAAATAGTCTTCAAATACTTTTTTTCTTCAAACCTGAAGTGCTGCTCTACCCGTGTCAGACGACAGCTGGACAGGAACCTCACCTTTCACAAAATGGTGGCATGGATGATCGCCCTTCATACTGGTTGGTACTCAAATGTTTCTTTATTGCTTTCTTGTGCATTTAGACAGAATCCATGTGGGATTCAAGTTGTTAAGGATATGGGCAGAGACCTGATTTCATTACCCTAAAGGAGTCAGCATGTGCCAAGGCTTAAATCAGTTTCCAAATATTATTCTGCAACTGTCAGAGAGCAAAAGATAAACATGAAAGAAGACTTTTCTCTTGAACCGTCAGCACCATTTATGACGCTGGTTAATAAAGAGTTTAGCAATGCGCTGAGAACCAGATACCTTGGTTTTAATTCTTGTTTAGGCTTATTTTTAGATGGCATGTCTGAAACAAATAACAGAAATAATGAAAGAAAAGGGTATAAAAAGCTTGGACAGGACATGGAAAAGTTTTCATATTTTATCTCTCATTTCCTAAACGAAGGGGGTTCTATCTTTTTTTTTTTTCATCAAATTTCTCACTTCTCAATGCAAGCACCTTACAAATCATATATCCTAGAATGGTCTTCAGATTACTGGAGCTGAGCAGGTTCCCTTTCTGAGCTGTGGCTGAAATCTCACCAGTACTTCGTAGAAAAGGAGAAGGGCGATGCAGTTAACATAAGGCCACAGAGCTGGCCTGCGGCAGAGATGGATTGTTTGGGGGTGTTCGATCTGTACCCATCAGGCCCTGTTTTGAAGGTGAATAAGCATCTGGTGATATAAAAGGGGGAAAATTTTGAAAAGCATTGTACGGCTTACCCCTGCAATAATGTGTAGTGGAAGTAGTGTGAAACACCTCAGCTGTACCAGGTTTATGGACATGTCCAGCTCACCCAGACCACTATTAGTCATTATTAGCAATACAGCAGAACAAAGCAGCACTAGCAAAAGTGACACCAAAGAGATCCAGATTCACTTCTTGGCTCTTCTACAGAAATCCTGGATGATCCTGACAAATAATTTAAGCCATTCCGTGCTTCAGTTTCACATGTATTAGGGTACTGCTACTTGAATTGTTGAAAGCCTTTGTTGAACAAAGACATGCTGGAAACTTCCCTTTACTTCTGTCCTTCCCCCACCCAAAAAGGTGTAAACTTCAGATGGTAAAGCTTTGAGAGTAAAACACGTCAGTAAAACAGTAAAACAAAAAAATGATCTGAAATTGTGATGAAGAGCATGAGAGCGGCAAAGGTCTTAAGCTGCAGTTGACAAATGTTACAAAGTTTCAAATGTTACCCAAAACCACTGAGTACTTGTCTTGTGCTTAACCCCCATTATTTCTTTCCTGTCACTCCTAGCAATTCACACCATTGCACATTTATTCAACGTAGAGTGGAGTGTGCAAGCCCGTGTTGAAGAGAAAGGAACCCTGGCAGCTGTGCTTTCTAGCCTTGGTGATAACCCAAATGAAAGCTATATCAACTTTTTTAGAAAAACTATTGGGGTAAGTGACATCAGACTGTGAAGAGTCATTATTACATTTGTTTAGATGATCATATCAGACTGTTTGAGCAGAATGCCTATTTCTGGTGTGCACAATCTGGGTTTGGGCCATCTTGCAGCAAAACCTTGTATAATTCATTCTCCTATGTTTGTCAGTAATACTGTTGCTGAATTTTGGTAGTACTTTAAACTTTTTCACCTGAGGATTTCAAAGTAATTTTAAAACATTATGTAAAAACAAATGCCCTGTAAAGCAGTCTTCTGACTAAGGTAGACATGGCACACAGAAATGTGCACAGAAATCAAGGCAAAACTCTTGAACTTGGGCTGCTTAAGCTCTAGTTTAAAAAAAAAAAAAAAACCAACAAAAATAAGGAAGTTCCCCATTCCTCAGAAGCACCGAGCGTCCAATTTCTGTATGAGTTACCAAACCCACAGCTGCACAACGCCACTGAAAAGGACTGAAAAGGACAACCTTCATTTAGCTCCCTAAATATGGATGTAGGACTCCAGCTCTTAACAACAGAGCCGTACAAATGTGTTCACCTTCCCAAACCCATACTGCTGAGCAGTGGGAAAATAAGAAACAACGTTCAGTGTGTGAATTGGTGGAAAACCCTTTCTCTGTACTTCCACTTTATTTAGTAAAGGTAAATCTGCAATGCAACAAAAATGGAGTGGGATTTTGGCATTGTTGGCATACAAATTCATAGAGGATGACTTGAAGACTTACAATAAGGTAAAGGATTTGGCGAGTGAGACAGACTGATGGTTCAGCTGGCTCTGCTTTGATGCAACCCGTTCCTTAGACCAATGTGTGCAATTATTTCACAGAATCCTGTGGGGGGCCTATATGTGGCTTTCACGTACTTGGCTGGTCTCACTGGTGTTATCATCACGCTGGCCCTCATACTAATCATCACGTCATCCACCAAAACCATCCGAAGGTCGTATTTCGAAGTATTTTGGTACACCCACCATCTCTTTGTCATCTTCTTTATTGGCCTTGTCATCCATGGTGCTGGGTGAGTATTCACACTTATCGCGCAATATGTGATAACTACTGTATCTTAATGTAAAGCCCTCTACATGGGTAAGTATAGGGACTTAAGTCACTAAGCAGCAGTTATTTTTGATGGTAGTGATGGGCTAATACAGGCTCTGAGAGCCAAGAGGCTTGCACTGATACATGCAACAAGCTACTCACATGCACAAGGCTTTATGAGACTCTGGCATACTTAAGCTCACTGATACTCAACTTCTTCTGATATTGTAATTGGAAAGCTCTTTTCCAAGGTTCCTGTTTCTAATTGTTAATTTACCTTCCTCTCCTAAAAGGAACTGCAACACACACATGCATGTAAGGAGACCTCAGCATAAAAATTATATGGAGTCTAGGATTTTGTTGGGTAAATGAAAACTATAATAACACAGATTTATCTTTCAGACTTGAATGAACTTTTAATATCAGCAGCATTTCAGAATAGATTTTTAGCTGTTGCAGCTCAAATATAGGCAACTGTAAGTTTTTGTAACTTCCAAATGCCAAACATCTTTTTCACTGTTGGCTCATTCCATACCTTCTACTGAAATAGCTGAAAAGCCTAATGAAACAATTTTAACACTATGCAAACACAATTTTAGCACTTAGAAAAATGAATTTTAGTTCCATTTTATAAAACCACAGAACTGATGCATAAAGAAAAAAAAAGGCTAAAGTATCCAAGCCACATTTCATAGTTCATAATTACACTATATTGTCCATTTTAAAGGAAAATCTAGGTGCACTAGAAAGTGTACTTTAAAAATGCCCAACAAAAAAATGACTATTCAAAAACACTTCCTCTCAGTCCAGCAGTGACCGAAAAAAGACAGAAATGAGAGTACAACAGGAAGAACAAAAATAGAAGGCAGCTGAGAATTGCCACCAGCATATTTGTCCATTCCAGCTTCCAAAACAAGAAGGAGAAGGTTTGAGCAAAAGCTGTCAAAGGACAAGAACAAGTATTTCATGTTTCCTGCAACAAATATTGTATAGTAACCGACAAAATGTCCAAACTTGCCAGTAGTTACTACACAACGCTATCAGAAAGCAGGCGTTGCTCTTTCTAGAGGTCAGTGAGAAGCATATATTTCATAAAAGTTGACTTCTTATTTACTTGCATGTTCAGTATACTTCCACCATTTTAATTGTGCTGTACTGAAAAGACAAGAGTTTGGGCAGCAGTGGGGTTGAATGTGGTTGTCAGAGAAGTTCAGCTATCCTTTGGAAGGAGGTAAACACAGGAATATTATTATCTGTAGAGGGAAGGATGCTTTCTGGCTGTGAACTCAGTGGCCTCGCTTATTTGGCCTTCAAAGCAAGAATGACATTTTGAGTTTAGAGAAAGTACTAATACATTAAAAAATAATGGACAAGGTTTTTACACTCAAGGAAGGCATCTTAGGTGTACAAAGATGGATGTTATGGAATAAGTATGATCTGTCTCAAAGTAACATGTTAGAGAGAGGCATAGATGTCAGTTAATCTCAGGAGACAAAAGGCTGTGTGTCATACATACGTAAACATGTATACATACATGTATGTATACACAGAAAACCAAACCAAAGATAATTAATAGAATCAAAGGGGCAGATTCTTGTCCGTTACAAGCTGTTACAGCACTTTTGTGGCACTGATGTTCTTTGTGCATGAGCTATGTGTCACAGACGAATGTCCCAAACTTCTCATCATAGCAGATGTAAAGAGGAGAGAGTACAGAGCTTCAGATCACCCTGCCTTGGAAACAAAAGTAAAACTTTCTGGCAAAAAATAAGTCATTAGAAGGCCATACTACTGAAAGCTTAATTACAGTACTGAAAGAGCATCTACACTGAGTAATAAGGGAAAATAAGCCTTTTCTTTCTCTTGTACAGGGTACTGGCATTGTCAAACCTTGAATGGAGCATAAGGCAAAGCAAGAACTCTCAGGCCCACTTTCCCTTAAGCAATGGGGTGAGGAGTGGCAGGAAACGGGCTCCTCCTGTTCCCGTAACTCATCCCAGAGGGCAGCTCAGCTGAACCCATTGTCACTAGTGGGGAAGTAAACTGCAACTGCCGATGTTCCTGCAAACTTTAACTCGTGGTGCTCCTGGGACAGTGTTGTTCCTTCACTTTATTTTTCAGGCAGGATGTTAATCAAACCTTTAATGAGGAAAGGTTCATTAGTAATATTTATGAGCAGTACAATCTTTTAACTTTCAAGACTGTGCACAGGCTTTCTAATAATCCTCTGATAAGTCTGACACTTAAAGCTAGGCATACATATGACTTAAATACCACATTTTCTTGAAACATCAGAAGCATAGTCTAGTTCATGGAAACTGAGCTAGAAAAGCAGAAGGAGAAGTCATGGGAAGAAGATATCAACAGAATCATATTGGCATAAAACTGAACAGCCTGATCAGAATCAGACCATTTCTAGGGAAAATCAGCACATCTTAATCTGAATTTCTCTACTATGACCCTCATCCTACTAATTACCATAATTTTTGGGACTCTCACACGCCCCTGAGGTTGGCAGAACTCCCGTCAGAGGCAGGAAATAGTGAACAAGATCAGAATATATTTTTCCCCCTCAAAACTAAAACTGTCTTTCAGCACTAGCTCTGCCACTGGAAATACAGCTGAACCAGAGCAGTCAGGCTTTCTATAATAAAATAAACAACAACCACAACAACAACAAAAAACCCTAACCAAGCAAGAATATAGAGGCCAGATCATCAACCGACATAAGCTGGTATAGCTGGCAGAGCTGCTTTGCGTCAGAAGTATCTGTGTTCATTCACACCAACCGAACAGCTACTCCCCAGCTTTAAAGGGAGAGGAAGGGTCAAAGGAAGAATATATGTTAGAAAGGGCTCTCCAAATTCCTAAGATAAACAACAGAAATAATTTCTGTATTGGTCACTAGGAAATTGATTGCCTTGCCCACTCCAGATTTTGTATTTATTGAAGAAAAAGGTAAGATAACTCTGAAAAGAATGAAGCTTTCCTGCTGTGACTACTTCCTGGAAATGGTAATGGACATAACTCTCAGTTCCTCACCTGATCTTGTAGTCAGTATTTTCCCCTACAAACTTTCCTCCCCATTTTTATCATTTTAATAGCAATTTTGTGGGTTTATTAGAGCAGTAAAGCTGTATCAAAGCTGTAGCACTGCAGAAGTCCACAACTCCATATAAATAGAGTAGGACATAAGTAGAATAACAGTAAGGGGCATACCCCTTCATTTTCATTTCATTGCCTTAATGATTTTTATTTTTTTTCCAGGCGTATTGTACGGGGGCAGACAGCTGAGAGTCTGAATGAACATAATCCAGAGGTTTGCTACAAGAACTTCACTCACTGGGGAAAGAAGGGGGCTTGCCCAATCCCCCAGTTTTCAGGGAATCCTCCTATGGTAAGAACAGTTGTCTTGAGTGCAAATCCCATTTAAAAAGTTTACAGTTTACTCCTTTTGTTAAATAACATATACACTTGATGTAGAAAAGCAGCTACGTAACCCCCAGTGCTCTTCAGTGGCAGCTTTCTTTATATAAAGTGATAGATTTTAACACCATGGGTTGTAAGCAGAAATGGACTACAGACAGACAGACAGACAACCCATTTCCAGTGTGCCGTAAAGTGAGCACAATTAACAGGCAAAGCAAAAGAGCAAATCGTATCTGAGGACTTTTTACTCAAAATGTATTTTGTGTCTTGTGGGGATTTCCAGCAAGTGCTATAATCCACATAATAAATAGTTTCACCTTATTAATGGACTAATGATCATTAACAGACAATTAATGACTCTGGAAAGGTGACATTGAAAGTTCAGCTTTTATTGACTAACCAGGCTGGTTATTTGTTTATATTTCAGGTTGGTCTGTTAACAGAAACCACATCTTCTCATGCAATAATACAGAACTGAGTCAATAATACATTCAGGGCTTTACTCCACATTTCACTTAGCTACCTTAATTTTTAGACAGAGACAATATCACTTATAGGAAAATACCTTGCTGTAACTCTAGTAGCAACTAAAAAGCCAGCTGCAACTCTCAACAGAGAAAGAAATTCCATCTCTGACCAGAAGTAATTTTGAAGCTGTCATATCCCTTAAGGGTTCCTTACTCTAGTTGGCAAAGAACCTACATTGCTTGAATTTCACATCTGCTCATAGCTTTTCCAGGATTCTATTTAACCTAAGTTGCCGTCTTCACCATCTGACTTCTCATCTTATTCTGCTTACAGACATGGAAGTGGGTAGTAGGTCCCATGTTTTTGTACCTGTGTGAGAGGCTGGTGCGGTTTTGGAGGTCACAGCAGAAGGTTGTTATCACAAAGGTATGTGTTGATGCTACGCTTAACACCAGGCAAAACTTTACCAATTTTTCTAAATGGTGCAGCAAAGCCAATGGCTCCTACATGACAGACAAAGTTATCAGTGAAAGGCCTCTCAGGAATGTTCCGCCTGCTATAATGCAAAAATAATGCCAACCTCTAACATCTGAATGTAGCCTGTCTCTAAAAGAGAGAAAGAGGAGGAAGTTAGTTAAGTCACAGGACTGAATCTTAGGAAAGAGAAATTAATTTTCTTTGTATTGAGTGAAAAATTCCACAACGTAGAAATTCAACAGCCTTAAGACTATTTAGGATACCAAATCCTTGTTTTCAAAACTACCCAGATATTTAGGGATTCTCATTTTTCAGCAGAACAAATGACACCTGAAAAGGAGAGTTAGGGGGTGCCTATTTTGTGCAGCCAAAGCTAATGTTGAGCTTCCATTCCCCATGGTGTGTTGCAGAGGTGTTAATGCTGGTTCTGAAAGTCTGACAGCCAAATTAGCATGGCTATAAGCTCAAACGTATAAAAACTACCCTGGCAGTGTAATTTCCTTACATGACACTGTACTGCATCTTGTGGACATACCTCGTTCAAGCTGTAGCAGGATTTGAGGGCCAACATTAGATGTCTCTACTGTGCCCTGGCATGATGCTGACATGTTGGAAGGTTCCTATATACCAGTGTACTTTCTGGTAATTTTACCAAAATATGTCTGAGCCATTTCTACACCATATGTCTACGCCATCTGCTTAGTTCCCTGTTGGCAGAAAATTTCTTCCACAATCCTAAGCACCATTATTAATGCCTACATTAATAGATAGAGAAAATGGATTCTCCCTCTTGCAATTCTCTTCTGAAAATTGAAAATAGCTTTGGCAGACAACTTGAGGATTAAAAGATCATAGTAATGGACATACTAGCCTTGCTTCTAGAATATTGCTTCTATTTATTCTTCACTAAAGATAGGCAGAATGCAAATGCCCATATTATAGTTCCTACCCAGCTATAACACGAAAACATCAGTTTCCAGTGTACTATCTATCCAGTTCCCTATCTATATGATAGCCCTACGGTTTTGCCCCTATATATACAGTCAAATTAGTTAACACTGTGCTCTGTACCACTGTCTAAGATGCATCTGGAATTAACATTGTGCTTACATAGATCCGGTGATGTGTTACTAGATGTGCCAGTCTGACCTGTCCCTTTTGGAGTAACTGCAAGCATGGTGTGAAAAAATACTTCAACCAAAAATTCAGCATCTTCCACAGTCTTTCATCTAGCTGTCAGGTGCTGTTCCTCACTCTCAGTTCTGCTGGGAACAAAGTTTCACCTGCTTTCCTTGATCACATAGCAGAGGACAATGTGAGTGATGAAGTGTGTAGATACATCCAGTGAACAGTGAAGACAGACTTCTTCTCCCTTGTTTCCCCTTGTCCCTCTCACTGTAGGTGGTCATTCATCCCTTCAAGACAATTGAGCTCCAGATGATGAAGAAGGGCTTCAAGATGGAGGTCGGGCAATACATTTTTGTCAAATGTCCAGCAGTGTCTAAACTGGAATGGCATCCATTTACATTAACGTCTGCTCCAGAAGAGGATTACTTCAGCATTCACGTTCGTATTGTAGGGGACTGGACAGAGGGCTTGTTCAACGCCTGTGGATGTGATAAGCAAGAATTCCAGGAGGCATGGAAGTTGCCCAAGTACGTACAAAGAGTCTCCATGGTAAAGTCAACCAACACGTATGGTGGTTTAAAATTTGCTCAACCAGTTCTGTGGAACCTGTGATACAATCCTTAACTATTTCCATCATAGATGTGGGCCTTAGAAGGCTCTTTCCCGTTTTCTTCTATCAAAGCTACCTCTTCTTTTGCTGACTAGTAGTCAACCCAAGTGTGCATTGTAGCAAAGAAATACCTTACCTTTTTATTGTTATTTTAAATAGTGCTAATAAATATTCACTATTGATTTATTAAGTGTACTTTCAATTTCAGGATAGCTGTGGATGGCCCCTTTGGAACAGCGAGTGAGGATGTATTCAGTTACGAAACTGTTATGCTTGTTGGAGCTGGAATAGGGGTCACCCCCTTTGCATCTGTACTTAAGTCTGTCTGGTATAAATACTGCCATGATGCAACCAACCTAAAACTCAAAAAGGTGCGTGTCCTCTTTCCCAGAACCCATGTAGTTGTTCAAGGGCCGACAGCTCAAATCAAAACAGGCCCAGCAAAGGTGGTCTGGCTCCAGACATGCGTGAGTCCTAAGACGAGTCCAGTTACTTCCCAACAACAGCAGGCAGGGAAGCAGGAGAGTCAAAAGCAAAAACATAATGAAAGGAGAAATAGCCTACGAGCAAAATCACACATGCAAATCCTGGCTGTGGCCCTGGGGATTTCCACTTGCAGTGGAGATGCTGCTCAATGTGCGTGAGAAACACAAAGTCCAAGGCACTAATACAGCCTGTGCAAATATTGCATTCCTTCCCTAAGCACAGAGAGCGCAACTTTATGTCAGTGGAAGAGCACTGCTACCGTCCTCCTCTTGCCTCCTGCCGCTGGAAAGTCCCCCTGCAGATGTGTGGGCTCACACTCTGCAGTTACGGTCATATTCAGAGAACAGAACTGGTTTTGTTACCTACTTTAATTTACCTTGCCCGCTGGCAGACAGGGAGATAGTCTACCACTACTTCATTAATTTATGTCCTAACAAATTGGTTTATGAGGATGTAAGTGCGGAAAAATCATGAACTAAAAATGTAACCCACTGGTGGAAGAGAAATAGAAAGATGTTTCCTTGTTCTTGCAGTCACTCATTCTGCTTCACAACCCTTCCAGTGTCGAACCTCCTGAATAGCTTTGATACCAGCCTACCCATCTACTGAAATGGTCAGGGCAATTTCTACAAGAACTCTACGATCCTCATTCTGTCAGCAGATGTAAAACCAGAAACCATAAGTGCCTATGACCCCTGACAGCTCACTCTTGTCTCTTCCAGATCTATTTTTACTGGCTTTGCAGGGACACTCATGCCTTTGAATGGTTTGCTGACCTCTTGCAATCTCTGGAGGCTCAAATGCAGGAGAGGAATAACGCAGATTTTCTCAGCTATAACATCTACCTTACAGGCTGGGATGAATCTCAGGTAACAACACGGTGGAAAATATCACTTCCATATGCGCTGAGGTTGATGTTAGTGTGTTATGTTTTAATAAATGTTCAAATGGTGTTTATCCTGGGCCTCCATCTGGCTCTCAGAGGCTTTAAATGCAGACAGGTATTATCCATCAGAAGTTAGCTGGGATCAGTGCATTCTGACTTCCTTTCTGGTTTACTCTGGCTGTGCACTCTGGGGAAAGCAGTCTTTCATCACAGCAGCAACCTCAGCTGACCATGTGAGTATCTCTAACAGCATTTGGGACTGTAGAAGCTAATGCACGAGGTTTGAGCGATGGCAGCATATTTGTTTCAGGACTCTCATGAGTCCTCCTATCTGATCCCATGCATGTAGGTCACTGTAGGGATACAAAGGAGCAGCTCTTCCATGAGCCACTTGATAATGCATGATTGAGTCAGGAAAGGTGCTCACCCTATTACTTTTAGTGATATTTTATTTTACTTATATCTCTGCTGCAAAATTCACTACGTGTCTGAAGTGCTGTAGCTCAGCTAGACAGACAGGGAGGGGTAGGAAAATGGTAGGAAGTTATCACACAGTCAATAGAAAAACAGGAAGGAAAGAAGAAAAGTCACACAATTCTTGCTTAGGGAGAAAGTTACCCGTAACTTTTTTGGCATATAAAAGTGCTGCAGAACTCTGCAAGGCCTGAAACCGTGCACTTAACCACATCTGTGTCCAGTTTTGGGCCCCTCAATACAAGAAAGACATTGAGGTGCTGGAGCGTGTCCAGAGAAGGGCAACAAAGCTGGTGAAGGGTCTGGAGCACAGGCCTTATGAGGAGCAGCTGAGGGAACTGGGACTGTTTAGCCTAGAGAAGAGGAGGCTGAGGGGAGACCTTATCGCTCTCTACAACTACCTGAAAGGAGGTTGTAGTGAGGTGGGTGTTGGTCTCTTCTCCCAAGTAGTTAGCGATAGGACGAGAGGAAATGGGCTCAAGCTGGACCAGGGGAGGTTTAGGCTGGAAATTATGAAAAATTTCTTTACGGAAAGGGTGGTCAAGCATTGGAACAGGCTGCCCAGAGAGGTGGTGGAGTCCCCATCCCTGGAAGTGTTCAAAAAATGGGTAGATGTGGCACTTTGGGACATGGTTTAGTCTAGTCTACCCTTGATTGGTTTAGTGTGGACTTGGTAGTGTAGGTTAATGGTTGGACTGGATGTTCTTAAAGGTCTTTTTCAACCTAAACGATTCTATGATTCTATGATCTCCTCTTCCAGGCTCTACTTAGCTAGTCTAGGTGAAAGTTACACAGGGAGGGTGGACAAGACCTCCTCATATGGATCAAACGCTCCAAAGGTCAAACTGGCAGGACTTCTTTAATGTCAAAGGAGGTGTATTATTGTACCTGAAGGGAAAGTTTTGTTTTAATTTACAGCTTTATTTTACTGCTCTTAGACTAAACCAGTTCATTGCAAAAGAAACATAATTAATTGCTGTGTTCAGTGCTTCATAGCTTTAACTCTTGAAATCAACCAGTCTGGGGAAAAGGGAGAGATAGACACTGATAGTCGGACTTTACCACTGTTAGCTTTCATTGCTAAACACCATAAATTCCACATTCTCGGTTTGGAAATAATTCAGTGTGTATTGACATTACTGTTTTTTTTTTTTTTTAACAGGACATAATGCTGCCATATCTAACTCTTTCTTTACGCTGTCCTTTGTGTTTCATTTCCCACAGGCCACTCATTTTGCAGTGCATCATGAAGAAGAGAAAGATGTGATTACAGGCCTTAAACAGAAAACCTTGTATGGAAGACCTAACTGGGAAAACGAGTTCAAAACTATTGCGGGGAATCATCCTGGGTAAACCTGTATAAACTGGACTTCCTCTATCTAAATGCCATAATAGCACAATCTTGTTCCTTTGGCTGATAAAGTTTGGGAAGCATTTTTTTTTTTCTAACAATCTCCAGGTATTTTCTATTCTTGTTTCAGCCATGGACACGATCTATGGTCATGACCAAATTGTTTTAACCTACAATTTTTTAAAAAATCATCCTTTTTTGGTGAGGTACTTCATGGAGTGTCTAATTACTAGCAGAAGTTTTAGAAAAAACATACCACAACAATCCAGCTGAAGTAGATAGGAGTATCAGATGACATCTAAATACCTCCAAAAATACTTTCTACCTCAAAAAACAAAACCTGAATACGGATGACCTTTAGCTGTGCACCCAAAATTAGTAGGAAAAAAACAGAACAGTTCCTTTCAAGAATTTGTGCTGTAAGCTCTTTGAAGCTCTATTTCCTTGACTCCACTGAGGTCAATAAACCTGTCTTCACTGACTTCTGCTGAGCTGAGATGTAGCTCACCATTTTTTTAGAAGCATCAGTTTCCGTTTTGCAGAAACTTTTTGCAGAAAACAAACAGCCTTGCAAGTTTTAAATGGTTATAAGTTTTAAGGGGTAGACATCCAGTTCTACTTTAGTTCCTGCAACTGAGAAAAAAACCCTTGCACCTACAGAACATAAGATTGGTTTACATGAAGAACATCCAGCTACTCCATACCTAGTTCCTGACCATATTTTCATTTTCTTAACAGCTCCAGAATAGGTGTTTTTCTCTGTGGACCTGAAGGCCTAGCTGACACACTCAACAAGCAGAGCATCAGCAACTCAGAAGCTGACCCACGAGGAGTACACTTCATTTTTAACAAGGAAAATTTCTAACTCCCAAGCACATGGGAGTCATTCAATACGAAGTGTAAAGACTGGATCTCTCTTTCTATTTGGAGCCTGGGAAGGACAGCCCAGCTTCTAATCTCAGCTACACTAACGCAAATCCCTTTGCTTCTTGGGAATTATTTTGGCGTTGTGGTAGAGTAAAATAGTCAAGTTTTACCTTAGGGAATTTTGCACTGCCCTCCGCGTGCTGGCAATTCAGCAGAAATCTATTTTCTTTGTCTGTGTGAGGGGATTTCCCCTCAATTAACTGCCTTTATCTTCCTGTTATTCATAATGACTGCCGAAGGGTCTAGGCGGACATATGTATTTGGGAGCAAATTCACACTTAAAAAGCTTAATGCTATTAAAAAATAAAGCATTCTAGCATAATGCTTGCTATTAAGAATCAGCTTATCTTGGCTACAGCCAGTTCCTGGAATGAGGAGGGTTAGGGAATGGTGACTGGGAAAGATTGTTCCTTACAAAAAGGAATCTCCTTTGTGCACCAGCATCTTTTAGGCTTCCGAATAGAAGCATAACCATCTTGTCCAAGAGAGAGCACAGGCAGCTGTTCTGAATAGAAGCATAACCATCTTGTCCAAGAGAGAGCACAGGCAGCTGTTCTGAATAGAAGCATAACCATCTTGTCCAAGAGAGAGCACAGGCAGCTGAAAAGCAGCCATGCCCCTCTAGGAAAGCGGAGAACTGGAAAGGAACCATCTGGATTTCTGAGCGCCACCCCCACCCCAGCTGCAGGGGGATGACGAGGACGGAGTCAAACCAAGTCCTGCACCTGGCACGTGAGCCATCGCCTGGCTGCTTCAAACACTCTCAGTTTCACATCTTCAAATTCACGGTGCAGGGATCCAAACAAGAAGAGGTCTTGTGTTTTCAAGACGCATTTCTGATTTTCAAGGCTGAAAAAACTTCTTGCTAAATAATTTAATGGGTATTTTCTGAAGCATTCTTCAATGCATACAGTGCTTTTGGCTCTATTGTTCAGCTGTTCTTCTTTGATGGTGAAACAGGTTTGAGAAAGCAAAGATCATGTGGGCAGTATCTGGAATAGCTATGAATAAAGTTTCTGATGTGTACCACACACCCATACATAGCACAGTACTTCTGTATGTTCATTACAGGTAACAGGTTCTTAAAAAAAAAAAGGAACCAAAACTTTTAAAACCAGCACTATAGAAAAAAAATGAAAAAACAAGTGCAAAAAGCCTTGAAAAAGCTACAGTTTAGTATACCATGGGTCTCCTGTTCAGCCCAGTCACCCGCTTACTGCCTTTTAAACTCAGGAGTGAGAGCTCCTACACAGAACAAGACCTTGCTGACTGGTTCTTATAGTAACAGAGGAAAGCAGTGGCCTCCTCCTGCAATTTCAGACAAGTTTGTGCAGCCATCTGGTTGCATGTAGCATGTTTTACACCTCAACTTGACAGACAGGATGTGTTCCCACTTTACATGATTTTTAAATGTTATCTAAGCACTCCATGCTACTTCAGAAGGACAGCTCACCAGTTCGTATTTATTAATATCAATTTCTGTGAACTGTTAAATGACACAATGAATTATATCAACACCTGAAGGGGAGGAAGCCACAGTTGGTGAATGCTAGCAAAGGTCAACTCTTGGTGGGGAATTTTTCAGTTCTTCCCCTCAGAAGGGCCATATTTAAATCCACTTAATTTTCTTTGAAACACACATATTAAATCAGACTACAGCCTAAGCGGAATTAAAGAACCTTTTTCTGTGGAATAAAACAAATGCTACTGGAACATAGAATCATTTAGGTTGGAAAAGACCTTTAAGATCATCCAGTCCAACCATTAACCTAACATTACCAAGTCCACCACTAAACCAGTTAAGGGTAGAGTAAGAATTAATTTCATGTTTCCTGGCTTGGTGGCTGGATTATTTTTTAATGAAAGTAAAACTAGGAATCATTAAGGTTGGAAAGGACCTCTAAGATCATCAGTCCAACCATCAACCCAACACCACCATACCCGCTGAACCATGTCCCAAAGTGCCACATCTACACGTTTTTCGAACACCTCCAGGGATGGTGACTCCATCACCTCTCTGGGCAGCCTGTTCCAATGCTTGACCACTCTTTCTGTGAAGAAATTTTTCCTAATATCCAACCTAAACCTCCCCTGGCACAGCTTGAGCCCATTTCCTCTTGTCCTGTCACTAACTACTTGGGAGAAGAGACCAACACCCACCTCACTACAACCTCCTTTGAGGCAGTTGTAGAGAGCGATAAGGTCTCCCCTCAGCCTCCTCTTCTCTAGGCTAAACAGTCCCAGTTCCCTCAGCTGCTCCTCATAAGACCTGTGCTCCAGACCCTTCAACAGCTCCATTGCCCTTCTCTGGACACGCTCCAGCACCTCAATGTCTTTCTTGTATTGAGGGGCCCAAAACTGGACACAGTATTCCAGGTGCGGTCTCACCAGTGCCGAGTACAGGGGCACAGTCACCTCCCTGCTCCTGCTGGCCACGCTATTCCTGGTACAAGCCAGGATGCTGTTGGCTTTCTTGGCCACCTGGGCACACTGCTGGCACATGTTCAGCCGGCTGTCAACCAGCACCCCCAGGTCCTTTTTGGCCAGGCAGCTTTCCAGCCACTCTTCCCCGAGCCTGTAGCGTTGCATGGGGTTGTTGTGACCCAAGTGCAGGACCTGCCACTGTTTTGTGGCCAAGTGCCATGGCTTGCAATCTGACCATTGCTATTGGTTTGCCCTCCCGCCGAAAATTTCCTCCTTCCATCTATTTGGGGATTTTCTCTTTTGGGGGTGGGGGAAGGGGCCACTTTCACAATAAAGTGATTCTTTTGCTGTCAGATTGCTGGCTTCAAAGCGCCTGCCCTGGAAACAAAGGGTGGCTTCTCACCTTTGTTTGAGAGACTGCACATGGTACTCAGCAGTTTAGGCAACTCTATCTGGCACCATGGCCCTGCTGCAGTAGCATCAGCAAGGTTTTCTGAAAGGCAGGGATATCTCAAGCTTGCTTCTGTGGACAGCAGGGAGAAACAGCACGAGGGGGATGGCAGTGAATGGTTGAAGGCAGGACTTGAGGGAGCTCCATGTTTCACTGACAAGGGTCAGTTGCCACCATAAAACTCTTCCTGCACTCTGGATGGAAGCTTCCCGCTTCCATCTTTACTAAGATCCTGATTTGCTGGGTGCCAAAGTAAATGAGCTATTGGGCTTGCTCTGGCAGAGTTCTGCCACTGCCCACAGTTGCTGGGGTCTGGGGCACCCTCCAGAATCATCCCCACTTCCAGTGGGATCTGAACACTACAAGCAGCTCTCCCATTAAGGCTGTCCTTTAACAGTAACCTTTGGTCCTAGCTCTGCCTCATCTGCAGAGATGACTCTAAAAGATGTAAGAACCTCTCAGCACTCGTGGCACCATCAGTAGAGACAGGAGCACAGTCTGTGTGACATGCACTATTGAACTCATGCTGTACCTGAGGTTGCAAAGTGGACTGATCTGTCCTTCCACCAAGTTCCACAAATTCCCTATTCAAATCAAAAATGCTCTGCTGATGGCAAGAAAAGCCAGTTGTTGTTGGATTACTAAAATAACTGCTTCCACTAATGGAAGCAATTAGGAGTTCAATTCAAAGTGACTGAAGAGAAAACTTGGTCTCACTTATGGCCTCAGCTCAGCATGTTTTCCTTCCCTTCTTATATAATATTTTCTCTGTCTTCCCATATGTAGTCATCTGAATTAAGCAGTTAATTAATTAATCAATAGCCTTGTTTTCCAGTCCACTGCCATTAGTCTTATATTTAAGGACCCCAACTCTCCAGGGTGCTGGGCAGCTCCGGTTTCTGTTGGCCTCATTTTGATTTTGGAAACTGGAAGGGGGCTCTGGAGGGGGCATGGCACCTGGTCATATCCAGATAAAATATTCAAGTAAGACCTTCATATGTACTGGGTCTCATCTAGTCCTCCTTCCTTCCCTGGTACATACTTGCAAAGTGTGCACACGGGCAAATGAAATTCAAGTTTTCGTAAGTTTTAACCTACAATAAAAATGCTACTCTGCCTGTTCACCGTCATGTATGCCCCAGGGGAAACCACTCTGGTTGCAAAATAGGTGTTCCTCTTTTCAGTCTTGTAAGACTTTCTGTGGTGGGTGGGGACTTTCTGCCTTTCAGTCCTCAAATGGCGGGTTAAACCATATTAGAAACAGAAAAACAAACAATAAGCTGCCTGTGAAACACAGGGTACTTTTGAACAAACAAGAACTAATGTTAGGGTCTCATTATGGCACTTTTTTCCAAGATCCTCCTCTATTTTGGACTGTTCCTACCAAATTAATGTTGTTTCTATTTTTTCAACTTTCAATGAGTTCTTTGTAGAATTCATAGCCAGGTATAAGCCCTGACACCTCGAACACATAGGCATATATGCTCAAAGGAAGTTAGGAGTATACATTAAGATGCTAATGCTTATAAGTGTTGACAGGACAAGATCATCATGTCTGACTGTGTACAACAGTATCAATTCCACAGACACAAGCCAGCGTAGTTATTTGTCATGAGCCACACGTTCATTTTTATGTTTCATACGGACCCTAGGAACCTGCTGGTCTCATTTGCATTCATTACACACAAACCAGCCCAGACTAGCAGCAGAATTAATTACAGTAGAGCGTGAAAGTGTGGAGAGACTTGCTGAAAGCTTACAAATGCTTTCTGCTAACCCCATTCCCTCCCTTTCCACTGGTACTCTTCTGCCTGGCTAACTCTTTTATCTCTGCCAACGCAGCTCCCACCAACTTCTTTCCGTTCATCCTGTTCTACTAATTGCTGCTGTTGCCCCTTCACTCACCCACTCCTTCCTGCTCCCCAGCTCTGCAAGTTTCCCGAAAATCTCCAGCTCCCACAATCCTTTTGCCAGTTTTGCAAGTGCTTGTGCCTACTGCAAGTGCAGGGAGAGGCACGAGGGCTTCGCTTTGAGCTCCAACAAGTGCAGTGCGCGTCTCACGTAACATGATTCAGCTGCAATCTCCCGTCACTACAAATAGACCAGGGCTGTAGCCACCTCTGCATTTCCCAAACAGACTATTTTGGTCCCCTCCCATAATACTGTCTGACCCTGCTTAATGTTTTTTTATTTTAAATTCTATGATGAAGGAAATTTATGAGCTGCTCTGTTCTAGTATTTCAGTATGTGTGGGTCAAATTATGTACTTTTACCCTGTAAGACATACCT